GTTGTAGGTTATTGTTAAAATTTCCGTAAACAAAGCATTTAAATGGCATTTCAATTCAAAGCAGAGAAACAAAAATAATATTTCTGGCCAAAATCGGGCAGACTTAAAACTAAAGTGCTATTTTAAGTGCTTTAAGTACATTTTAAAAATGATATTGCCTTTAAATAATAATGATTAAAATTTGAACATAAATTGGAGTTTTTCTTCTTAAAAATAACACAGAAACATAAAAGGTTGTGTGACCAACTTCACCTTTAAGTGAGTAACCTTAGCCAACATTATTTTGTACATTAGGCTAAAACAGTGTGATCATTGAACATTTTAGTGCAAAAAATAACAAACCCATCGGACTCACAATACTTCTTCTGAGATTATTGCAGCTCCTATGTGTGCATCAGCATAATCAGCATAACCAGGACATCTAGCATTGTCAAAAGTTCCCTTTTGCTCGGAATGCAAAGTGTCATTAAATGCGTTATTTTCTTTTACGTGTTATATTTTTCAAATGACTTAATCATAATTACCGCTTTAAATTCCCACTCCTAATTATATTATATTATATTAGAAGCTGAATCACAGAGACAGAAATAGAGGACAGAGATGGCCTGTATTTGTATGGCGCTTTTTTAGTCCCTAAGGACCCCAAAGTTGTAAGAAGTGAAAAGATGTTTGTGGAACTTGATTCCAGCTGTCGGTCGGAGTTCTCCTTGTCCTGTTGGCTGTTCGGAGAGAATATTCCATTAGTGGCATGACTGACGAGGAGGACCTTTGCTTCATGTTTGCTGTGAACTCATCAGAACAGCAAGCTGTTAACATCCATGAAACAATAATCAGAGGAAGGAGGAAAAAATACATTTTTCAAACAGTTATTGCCTTTCATGTGTTGTGAAAATTAATAACTGTTATTTGTCCACTGCCATTGTAGCTGCAGCTTCACTCACTGTGATCACCAGCTCCTCTATAAAGCGTGTTCAGGTCCAGGATATGAGTGGCTGTATCGATCCATGGATCAATAGTACTGACAGCAGTGTTGGTATTGGTTGAATATCAGCATGA